CGTCCCCCCAACCCCCCCGTCCCCCCCCCCAACCCCACCCCCACCCACACCCCCCGCCAAAACACAACCCACAACCACACCAATTCAGTCTGATCCGTACTATCAGACTTTCTTTTTATATTCCTATTGATTCTCCATTCTTTATTTGTAATTGATTTGTTCGTTGTTGTTTTTTCGCTCGAAGAAGGTTAAAAGATGCTTTTACTCTGCATGATAATCCTTTTTGACTCCTTTGATCACCGAATTTAGTTGAATACTTAACTCGATTTATAAGAGTGTATAAAAGGATGCAACAGTTGGTTTTGTCTTATTAATTCGATATTCTACTATTGCGTCTTCGTCTATAGATCATGTTCTAATTATTTATTCGAATATGATGTTTTCATTTCATAAAAGTTGAATTCTGATCGAGAAAATCGCGGAATTTTCGCGTCCGATTTAGAAAAAATTAATTATCTCGGCAATGAAGCAAAATTTTAGAAAAAAGACCCATACCTTTAAAGCCTTCAACGAATCTAATGACGTGCAAACGGCTACTTTAACCTTTAACACAAAGAACTAGATAGAATTATAAAATTTCTTGCTCGCACTTTAGAGGATGTGTTTGGGATGTCCAAGCTGGACAAGCTTTTAGCTTCGAAATTGATCAGATACCATTTTCCTATTCGGTTTTCAATGCTGAATAAGAAAAGATATTTTGAAATTTTTTATAGTTGTGTGAGCCTCAGATATTGAGCTTTCTTTGGACTTGAAGGATTTTACCGCGCTGCGAAAGATTCATTCAAGTTGAGACGAAAGGATTATTTCTTATCAGTCTGTATTGTGAACTGACAAGACTATAATACAAACTTTCGTTTAATGAAATTGTTATCTGTGAAAGAATAAAGAGTGGTGTCACCATGATATGCACGTTTGTTTCGCGGAATCTTGTTTTCGAATGTTTAGTGCGTTTTTCACCGCATCTATTTTTGAAAAATGTTGATCACTTTTTCGAACATCTTTATTACATCGTGGAAGGGACGTGAGGAAACGGCAAATACTTGATTCATGTCACGTTATCAAAGTAATATACACGGTGGAAAGATTTTGTTTTACAAAGACCCAGTTTTGCTCACTTTGCGTGCGCTGTTTGAAACACAAATTTCTGACAGAAACTTTGAGAAAAGTTAGTCTTTTACTACTTTGTCTTACCACTCTGGTAAAGATTCAAGTTGAGACGAAAGGATTACTTCTTATCAGTCTGTATTGTGAGCTGACAAGACTATAATACAAACTTTCGTTTTAATGAAATTGTTATCTGTGAAAGAATAAAGAGTGGTGTCAAATAACGAACGAAAAGGTATTGTTCTACTTCACTTTATTACATATATGAATACACTATGTTTATCATTTTCAAAATTAGATCATTCGTTAAACATGCATCTACTTGGTCGTATTCTCTACGGTAGTGTTCTCATTGCCATTGCCTGTGGTTACACAACATTAGCTCCAAATCAAAAGAAATTACTTCGATCATTGGAATTATTAAAACAGACTGAAGCAGAGCAAACATTCAATCAAGCACTCACACTTGCAATCGAATCAAACCCTGAATTGACTCAACATAAAGCTGTACTCTTAAAATTCTTTCAAAAACATTTTGCTTTTAATTCACTAAAATATGATATTGCAAAATTATACATGGAACATTTTACACTCAAAGAAATTAATCAACTGATCAAATTTTATTCGGAGCCACTTGGTAAAAAATTAACTCGTGTACAACCTCAGTTACTAATCCAAATACAAAAAATTGCTTCTGAAAAGATGGCTACACTTTTGCCGAAACTT